TTCACCTCTCTGTGCCTCATCTTCCCTGTCTATCTACATGGGGATAGTAATACTTACCTACCTACCTCACGGAGGTGTTGTGAGGCTTATTAATTAGGCCCTGAGTTTTAGAGGGATCTTAAGCCAACTTTCAGTCTTGCAGCTGACTACCTGAATGGTGAGTGCAGTCAGATCTCCAAACCAGTTAGGGGATCACTGCTGATGCAGGTAATTGTTGCACTTATCACGTCTGGATGCTCTTCTTGAAAACGTGGACCTGAGTATTTGTGATCTTGGGGGGATCTCAGAAGAAAAGCATGATAGCAGGACAGAGGATTCAATTCTGATACCGTGATGTAAAGTTACTTAGGTTCTACTTAATCATGGCGCACGTATGAAATGCTTGCTTTGAGTATATTCTGGAAGCCACTGATGTTGAGAGAAATGATTTCCTTTTTGCTATTGCAAGAAATGAACACAAGTGCTGAGGGCAAAGAACATCAGACTGTGTAGTTACAGTCAGCTAACGAGAGATGGATGGTCACAAAAGTTTCAGTGCAGAAAGACAAAAAGAGTAGTTATGCATTTACTCGTATTATGCAATGTAGCAAAAAAAAAAAAAAGTTGGCTGAATCCATTCAGTTTATGCGATTTACTTGTCTGTATACTGCATCTTTCTGAGATGGTTTGGTGCTAGATACTGTCTTTCCATCATTAGGTGGGGAACATTAGAGTAGTGGGCCAAAATGAGTCAGTACAGCACCGACACATGAGGTCGATGGTGACTGCTGACCGTGCAGCTTGCTGTGGTCACACGACTGCTGAGGGACTCCGTGTGACTTGCTCTGTTTCTGACCAGCATAACTTAGAACGACATCCCAGGAACACCCAGGATGGAAGTGGGCAGCTTTTCATGTACAGCAAATACTCCCTGTAGTGCTGCATAACATGCCGGAAATAAGCCTCTTTACTGTAGTTTACATCTGTAGCTAAAGGCTCTTTAATCTGTGGAAATTCTATATTGTCATTTTGGTACAACCCTTTTTCATGCTGCCAGTAGGTTTCATACTGGCTTAAAGTTTTCAGAAAGAGCTAACTTGGGGTGGGGGGTGATGGTTCTTCCGTTGTGGTTTATTTTTTAAGGGGAGGGGTGCGTTAGAAGCAGGGAGGGGTCAGATGTTCAGTATTTGGGAAATTGGTGTTGTATAAATATGGAAGGTGGGTGTCACTAGAACAAGTCTTTGAGAAGTTTCTTTCCATGGACTTGGCACAGGGCACTTCCATGGGCTTAATGAGAGCCGTCAACATGCATGCTTGCTTATGTCTGGGAGACACTTCACACACCTTGTGCCTCACTCCTCCACCCCCAACTGAGAAACAACCCCTTTGTGAGGAAAAAGCAGTTTTATCAGGTTTGCCCGATCTGTGGAAAAATTCAGGAAATGAAAATAACATGTTCTCTGTTTGATATTAGAATTCCTTCTGTGGCGTTTAAATGCATTTGTCGTTGTTGTATTTGTGCATGGTACAAGTGACAACACTGCTTAATACAGTGAGCAATAAGAATTAGGTATTATCCACTTTCACACTAAACCTGCCACATGCAACAATTCCCCCGGGCCGTGGAATGTATTTTAGTTTGGTTTTATCCCATGTGTTTTACTGTGTGAGATACTGATTACAGATATTTGATTGGCTATCTGTAGCTGAAACTAAAGGGGAACAGTAAACAATCTCACGGAACAAAATCCCGTTTAATTTGGTTTTGTTGGTTAGCCTGAACCCTGGCCTGCTACTGGTTTTCCTTCTTTTTAGTCATACCTTATTTAAATAAGGCAAAAAATCATTGAAGGGTGCTATACCTGTGTACATCAGTCTTGGCCGCACTTCCTCTCGTTAGGTCAAACTTGTTCTGTGACCATCTCTTTCATGTTGCAGAACAGATCCAGGTGCACAGAAGATCTGTGAATCTGATAGAAAACACTGGTAGTTTCAGGCTAGGTGGTAATAATGGATTTGAGCAATTTTGGGTTCATTGCATTGCCGTGCAGTCCAGAAAGGCTGCAGATGTGTATGGAAAACTTCGCCCCTCGGTTGCAGAACTCTTCAAAAGAGCATTGAAGATGGTAACTCAGAGGACTGTCAGCAAAGACTCTTCCAAGCAGCAGCCCTTTAGCACTTGCTCTCCATGTATGCAGTGTTAGCCATGTTTGGCCTATACGGACATTTTTGTAAATTAAAACTCTGTTTCCAGACAGCATTAAACTTTTTATATTATGAAATTTACCATGTAAAAAGATTTTCATATTTTTATTGAAATTGCTGAGGCATTTGGCCTTCTTCCTTTGTGATTTCAGTGTCTATTAAAGCATGAGTTCTCTCAGTTCTCTGGTCTCTTGTTGTAGGGCAGCACTGGTAACAAGCTTCTGGCGCACGGCTCTCTGTCCTGGCAGCCAGCTGGGATTTCCAAGTGTCCTCAACTTCTGCTGTGGAAATGAGGGGTCTTTGAGAACTTCCTGGTTTTTAGCAGAACGTCATTCTCCTCTACAAATGATGACTGGAAATTGCTTTTCCTTTTACTAGTAGGTGATGGGAGCATCAACATTTGCTCACTGTTTTTTTGTTCTAGTCAGCAGCAAAAGGACGTGTAGGCTTGGAAGGAGTGTCAAGGACCAACTCGTCCCATCCTTGCACTGTGGGAGGACCAAGTGCCAAAGGTATGATATATCTTTTCCCCACACCTTTTGCCAGTTGAAGCATACTTACTTAAATCTTTCCTCTTCTCCTGTGTTAAAGATGCCCTTGTCCCTAAAGGAATTGTTGGTGCCCATATGAATTTAACCTGAATTAGACTTTTTTATGCTTTCTGAATTTTTCATTGATGCCTTTCTCCCCGCTGTGTAAATGTCTCCTCTGGCCATGCTGACAGGAAGACACAAACCATATCCCAGGTCACAACAGAGCACGCTCACACTGCCCTAGAGTTTCTAGCTTCTGAGTCTTTGACCTGCTGAAAATGAGTTGACCTAAAGCACGTAAATCGTGGTAGTCTGTATTGAATAAGCACTTTTGCAAGGGACCCTTCCTGGCGTACTTCTGAAGCAGCTGATGCTCTGTATTTGAAGTTCTCCAAAGAGAACTTTTTTATCCCTGTCAGAAAGAATACAATCCATCTTCTGTTATGTAGTGACACCATTTGCATGAGATTTGATTGGAAAATTGCTGTGGCTGCTGTCTTAGTGGCCTTCAGGAAAGCACCTGTGCTGTTCCCAAGCCACGTGCCTGTAGCCTCTGTGCTGAAGTGCACAACTTTGAACTTTTGGCATAAAAGAGAACGTTTAGATAATAAAAAGACGTGCTTTAATTCACAGTTCATTGTATAAAGGCGCGTTTGCTGCTGTTAAAAATGTCTGTTCTATCACAGAAGGACGATTAGGGGCCTGGGAAGTTGAGGGAAGCATAAGAGCAGAGCAGAGCCCACGCAATGCCAGAGGCTGTAGAAGGGTCACAGGGACTTCAGAAGCAGGCATGTTTCCAAGGTACAGCTTCTCTCTGTCATGGATCCTAACCCACAGTCTCAGAGTGTGTCAGGAAAATGTTGCAGTCCCAGAAAGCTTCCAGAGGAGCCAGTTAGACAGCCAGGTTCAGACTGTTTAGCAACATCGTTGTTTAAACAGGAATGTAAGAAAAGATGATGCAGTTGTAAGTAGAGAGGACAGTTCAGAATGTGAAATTTGAATGCTGTTAGTTTCTCCAAACCGTAGATACTTAGCTGCAGTCTGTGTGTCCAAGTATTAAGTGGAGTTTTGGTGTGAAAAGACCTTAATGGTGCCTCACAGTTTTCAAACAGATCTTGGATATGAGGACATCAGCAACAGAGAGGAGCTTTTCCAGACCTCCCTTTGTGCCAGCGTGGGAGCCATCACACCAAGAATCTGATTGCTTTTTTCCTTGGGTCCTTTTGCTCAGCTGTGGCACAGCTATGTCTGAGAAGAGCAGCCCAGAGCTGCTTTACACTTGATTAAGGTAGATGTGGCACCAAGGGCGTTATCCCTTGGCCTGAGCATGGGGCGCTCAGTACTTAGGGGAGTGCTGTGGGCTGTAGGACTCCTACGAGGAACAGTTTGCAGGGGAAGCATGCTCTCCTCCACAGAGACTGTGCTGAAACTCTGTTTGCAGGCCTGAAGAGGTTTGTCTGTGCGCATGGTCTGGGATCAGCAGGATGCAGCTCCTCGGATGATACTGTGGTGTGGTATGATCTGGGTATAAACAAAGAGGAGGAGGGTTGGGGAGGGAGCGCGCATTGCAGCTGGCTGAGTAAACAGAGGACAAATGTTGTCCATATGGGGAAGGAGCCGCAGCAGGGGGACGGGCTGAGCCAAGGTTGTGAAAAACCAAATAAAGGAAAATTCAGAACGTTTGGGAGCTTTGGCAGCTCTGAGCCGTGCCCCGGCCCTGCTGCATGTCTGTGCCTCGGGGCCCTGTTCTAAGGCAGCTCTGAGTGGTTTCCGCAGCGTCCAGCTTTCACGTTTTCGCTCTGAGGCGATCGCAAACAGTTACGTTTTATTACGAGGGATGGGGAAAGCGTTTCTCCCACGGAGTGTTTGAGTGCTGCTCTGCGGAGTGGTTTGCTCTCACAGGGGCGGAATACGAAGGCGGTGCAGCTGGGTGATGTGGCACCGGTGGCTTTATGGCACAGCGGGACGCGGTGACCACGGCGCCCTTATCCAACATTAAGCGCCCTACGCCCAAAGCCGCCTTTCCCGCCGGGCCGAGGGGGGCGCGGGGCGGGGCTGGAGGCGGCCGGGGCGGGACGGCGCGCCGCGATTGGCTGCCTGCTGGTGAGGTGGGGGCGTGGCTGTGAGTCACGCGCCCTCGGATTGGAGGCGGCGGGCGCGTGCGCGCCACGCATCGAGCCCGGGTTCACCGAGGTGTGGGCCGGAAGTAGGGCTGCACGGCGTGGCGGGATTGGGCGCCCGGCTCCGAGGGGGAGGGACTTCCTCCGGAAGCGCACCGTGCGGAATGGGCAGACGCCGCCGGTCGCGCGTGCGCACTACGGGGCGGTGCAGGGAAGATGGTGCTGATCAAGGAATTGTGAGTGCGGGCGGCCGGGAGGCGGGCGGGCTTGGAGCGGCGCGGCCCGGTACTGCCGGATCAGCGGCTGGAGCCGCCCGCGCCTCTCGGCGGTGCGACCGGGCTGCGCCGTGAGCGTGCAGCCGGGTGGGGCCGTGGCGGGGGCCGATGCGCGCTGGGCCTCCCTTGGCTCCGCCGCGCCGGAAGCGCCCGGCCCGCCCCAGCACGGGGCCGCGTTGCCTCGGCCGCTCCCTTATCGCGGGCGCGGGGCCGTAGGAGCGGCCATCCGAGCGGCACGGGGGGATCCGGCAGCCGCTCCGTTGCCGCCCGGGGCGCGGCTCCGTTTAGTGCTCACCGCGCTTCCGGCAGCGCCCGCGGGCACCGCTGTGCTGACGGCCGTGCTGGGTGAGACCGCGTTGAGCTGCGAGCTCCGCTTTGTGAGCTGAGACGTTTGAGGCGGTCAGATCTCAAAGGCGGCTGGTTGTGTTTTTTTTTGTTTTTTTGGTTTTTTTTCTATTTCTCTCGGAAGGTTTCCTGGGTGGAAATGGAAGGAGTTCAGTAAGGCACACGTGGGACGCTCTGTCCCGTCAGGGATAAATAAAGAAGGTGTGTAGGAACTGCGAGACAGAGGCACGGGATGGCTCTGGTTGGAGGGACCTCAGGGCACCCAGCGCCGTCCTGCTGCCACCTCAATGGCTGTGAGCTGTCGCCGCTCTTTAAGTGACTCATAACGGCTGTAATTGCTAACGTTCATTTGTAGGCTCTGAGGGCCCGTGTGTGTGTTCTGCTGTATGTTGTGCTGGCAGGGCTGTTTGTTGTCACATGTGAAAAAAGCTGGCAGCTCTGAGTTGTAGCAGAGCTGGAAGTGGAGCTTGGATCTCCTTGCCCTTCTGTGCAGCTTTTGATGTTCCTATCCACGTCCTCCTCCCTGGCACATCTGCCTTCTTGATTTCACATGGGTTTCTCGTATTGTCCCCACATAGCTCTACTGCCATACAGTGCATTTGAAAAGAAATCCTGAATTAGCTCATGCTGATACTTCCTTCTTAACAGTATTTATTACAGCTAATATCTGTTGCTGAAACCTAACAGTTCATTGTGTTAATTTTTCTTTTTTCCCTCTTTCAGCCGAGTGGTGTTGCCATGTTCGGTGCAAGAGGTACGTCCTCATCTGACCTGTTCTGGCTCTGGGGGGAGGGATGGGAAGATGCCGACGTGTTCTTTAAGTCTGACTGCCCTGGATCCAAATGTTTCCTGCGCTGTGCAGCTCAGCTGTGCGTAAGGTACCATGTGTGTAAGCCACCAGTCAGGCAGAGCTAACCTGTTGCAGATCAGTGAATTTCAAAGGAGGGCAGATGCCTACAGGCTTGCAGCATTTAGTTGTTTCTGAGCCACTCTGTGCTTACGAGCAAGAGAAGAACATTGTGCAACTGTGTGCTGCAGCAGAATTTTCCTGCTGATTGAGGCATTCAGTGACCCCAAAGCTTTTCCCAGAGGCAAAAATAGGAACAGTCTTCTGAGATTTGAAGGCAGCTCTTTAAATGGTCCCGTACCTAATTCGTTAAAAGTATTAATCTGGGAGAGCTGGTGCTGGAATTCAATCATTTCAAAATCTTGTAAACAAAAGATTGTATTACTTTTATTTAATGAAGAATTTCTATGCTTTGCTTTTAATATGGGCCAAATGAAGGGTGGTGGATGCAGTGCTCCATACCAGTGTGTTGTATTAAGGCGAAGGAAGAGGTGCGTAGAGGTGGTGCATTTTGCCCCATGTTCACATTGTCATAAATGCTTCTTTTATTTTTCTTTCTTAATTTCATTGTGCTCCTACTAGCAGTTCTATGCACTGGCTGTTTTGTCTGACTTAAATATTGAAATCTCACTTTTCTTAACTTTCCAGTATCAAGTTGGTCAACTTTATTCGGTGGCAGAAGCTAGCAAAAATGAAACAGGAGGCGGTGAAGGAATTCAAGTCTTAATAAACGAGCCTTACGAAAAAGATGATGAGAAGGGACAATATACTCACAAAATCTATCACTTAAAGAGGTGAGGAAAACATAGATATTGGTCGGGACCATCTCTATTAATCACCTTGCAGTTGCATAGAATCATAGTATGGCCTGGGTTGAAAAGGACCACAATGCTCATCTCATTTCAACCCCCTGCTATGTGCAGGGTCACCAACCACCAGCCCAGGCTGCCCAGAACCACATCCAGCCTGGCTTTGGATGCCTCCAGGGATGGGGCATCCACAACCTCCTTGTTACCTTCAGCAATTTTCTCTTAACTGTTTTGTGATCAGTAATGTTGTTGGAGTTCCTGTGTAGCTGACTGTGAGTAACTTAGGCATTGTGACCTTTGCTGTGCTTGGGTAGAACATGCCTTTCTTTTTAGAGTGGGAGAAATCAGTGAGGTTCTGCAGCTGGCAAAAAAAACTTCAATCATGTCAATTTTTGTTTTTCCCAGTAAAGTTCCTGGTTTTGTAAGAATGATTGCTCCAGAAGGCTCCCTGGTGTTCCACGAGAAGGCCTGGAATGCATATCCTTACTGTAGAACAAGTAGGTAACAGCTTGCGTCTCATGCTGTCAGCATTTAGGGATGGTCTTAAATGGTTTAGGAGAAGAGTGGGTGCCATTAAGTAGAAAATACATTTTGCACTTCAATGTTGTGTTTCTGAGATCTACTGTTTTGAAGAGGTCTGCTTATGAAAAGCAGCCTGAGAGTGCAGTGCCGTTAGTGCAAGACTAACATCTCCCTCCTTCTTTGAGTGTAGAACAGAAGCTGTTAGAAACCAAGTAATTTCTGTACATCCTTATCATCTGTTTGAAGGAGGTGGCTGCCTTATTGAAATATTTCTAACTGTGGCAGCTTTAAGAGTAAGCTCTATTCTGTTGTTTTTGTTGAATAGTTGGAAGCACATTATTGTAAACTTCCAAAATTAAGGCTGGTAAGTTGTAATCTGCTGCAGCGTGCTGACTGCATACCAAAATCTCTTAGACTAATCTTGAATGTTTCTTGACACTGTGATGTATTCATTGTATGCAGTGTTTCATAAACAATCATATCTAATAACACCTTTGTTTCTTTTTTGCTTTCATCCCACGTGTTTCCAATGACCAGTTGTGACGGTGAGTGTTTGAATTGCTATCAGTGCTATGGTGGATTGATCTGAATTATGTTTTATTTGTTATAAATGCTACAATTGACTCCAGCAAGCCAGCCTCAGCCATGTACCTGTGCCTGTGGGGGTTCCTGGCACAGGACAACTTGTTACTTTGTCACTACTTGGCTATAATTAGGAAGAACTATAATTTGGCAAAGAAATGCTCTCATTTTTTGCATCATCTTTTGTATCTTTGCTTACTGTTACAGCTCTGTAACGTCTGTCTTGTTAAGGCATGCCAAGAACAGAACGCTAAGTCAGCTTTTTCTATAGTCTTGAATGTGGGAAGAGCAGTGAAATAATCAGTCCCTGAAATCCTTCTTTGCATAAAGTGAAATTCTGCCTCAGTTAAAATGTGTTAACTGAGAAGAGAGGTGGACCATTTTAGCTGGGGTGTTGGGGTTTTTGCTATTTAAAATGTGTGGTAAAGAGATCAGCAAGCCTCCATTATCCCATGTATCTATTTTGGTGATCTGTTTGAGGAAGCTTGTATGTTTAATGTTAAATTCCTTTATCTCGCATGCAGACTTGATTTAGATTGTCACCCTGAGGGTACAGCATAAGGTGCTGCAAACACGTTGCTGAACTGCTCGGCTTGTTTCCCCATGATGTGTGCACACACTGATGTCTGCTTTCCTATTTCTGAAATTAGAAATGTTCTGTGCTAGGCTTTAGACATACGGTTTGGTGTAGCTAGACCTCGACGGTCATAATTGTGCTATACATCAACATCTGCTCTGCGTTAGCTGTCACCCAGCCTCTCAGAATGGTCTCATTAACTAAAGTATATTTGTGTAGAATTTTTCCATCTTTGTGGCAGTACTCATTTAAAATGCTGTGAATACAGAAGTAAAGAATTTCAGAGCTGAGGAAGAGGGATACTGAGTGACAGTGCTCTTATTTCTATTTGTGTGCACCAAGCTGGGCTTACCAGTAGGACTGCTTTCAGTGTAGCACTTGGTGCTATAGCTGATTTCTTCCTCTTAGAATCACTAAGGTTTGAAGAGACCTTCAACATCACTCAGTGCAGCCAGCCCCCAATCCCAGCACTGCCCACTTAGAGGCAGGTTGTCTCATTGTACCTTGTGTGTGCAGGAGAAGGGGCTGTTTCTATTTTAAATAGAATGTGTGCTAGTTGAGACTTAGTGAGGACTGCTTTATGCAAATACAAATTTGCACTTATGTAAAACGTACCAATGTTGTCTAACTAGAAGTTAAGCTGAGTGAACATAATCAAACTCATGGTTTTTGTTTTAATTCTTATAGAATGAATACATGAAAGATGATTTCTTCATAAAAATCGAGACCTGGCACAAACCTGACCTGGGGACGTCAGAGAATGTGAGTTGGGATTTGGATACCTAACATTAGTAATATTTTCCTTGTACTTTCAGCCAAATAAAGTCTTCCATATCCAGTAATGGTAGATAATCACTGTATAACGTTCAAAGTCCAACCAGTTATTTGCATAGAAAATGTTATTCAAATCCTTCTGAAGCGATCAGGGTTTTTCATCTAAAGAGGTAGGAGAAAAAAGAGGAATTTCTTTTTTTTTTTTAATGTTGAGGTCAGTGCAGATATCTGATTTTCACTGATATTAAAAGAGGTTTTCAGTAAGTGGGAACTTTAATTTCATATTCTTTTCTCTTAGGCATGCCAGTGACTTTGAAACTGACATTATGGTTTATTTTTGTATGTTTCTGTAGATTATTTATTGAAGCTTAATCTGTAAGTTATCTGGACTGGAGGTATTCCTTTCCTGTATTGATGGTTCATTCAGTTCATGGGTCTCTTCAGGAGACCTCTTTCTATACGGTGACAAATGTACTTACAGAGCATTCAGGAGGGAATGATGGTCAATGTATTCTCAGTGCTTTGGTGAATTGCTTCATCCCTAAAGAAAGGATGTGCTGCAGAGAAGGAGGGTATTTCTTGGGCAGCTCTGCTTTCTTTAATTGTAAGTTTAGGTGTGCCATACAGGTAACAGGTGTGAAGTTAATAGCATGCTTAGATCAATGTGCAGTTTCATACTGCCTGCATTCATCTGAAGCATACTAAAGGCAGGCCTGTTCTTTAGAGAACTGACTGGATGTAGGCAGGTTATTGAGAGCTGCTATATTTTCTTTCTAAATTGAAAAGATTATCCATTTTACTGGATGGGTGACATTTCTAATGAGAGCTTGATTTCATTAGCTCTGATGAATGTGAAGAATACAGCTTGATTTTAAATCTGGTCTCATGAATGCACAGGAACTGAAGGCTTTGTGTTGGTTTAAAATTATTTAGTGAATTAATTTAACTAAAAAATAATTCCCTTTTAGGAAGAAAGCATAGATTTTTGAGAACACACTCTATCTTCATGAAGTCCAGAAAAAAATATACATACTGCATAAGGTACACAGCTTCATCAGGTGGTGGCATCAAAACCACTCCTTTTTTTTTTTGCAGGTGCACAATTTAGATCCGAACACGTGGAAGAGTGTTGAAGTTGTCCATATTGACATTGCAGATAGAACTCAAGTAGAACCAGGAGTAAGTAAAGGTGCTAATGTTGGGGTACAGTCACAACGTGCTGCTCATTCTGTCAGTGCTTTCTGTTGTGAATGAGCTGGAAGTGGCATGGATTTTATCCAACAGATAAAATTATTTTGAATAATTCTTTCCTGTGTTTCATGCTTAGGAATTGTGTTTACAGTTCTAAACTGTTGAGTTTGACTCTTAGTTACACAACACAAATGTGAAAGTCAGACTGTTGACACAGGTGTAGTTTTAATTTCTGACTGTAGATAAAATAATTGATGAGATGGAGCAGGCATCTGTGTGCTCATCTCAGTGTGTGAAGCCAAGAGCAAGAAGCCACCCCAGCTGTACTGCATGAGAGAGAGCAGCGTTTCCACCAAGCTCCTATTGTGATTCTGCTGCTACTTTTTGGTTAGAAATTCTTTGTCCCCCAACCCATCCTTCACTCTGTGCTTCAGGCAATCTCAAGAAGAACTGTCAGGCTTTGCCACTAAAAACCAGACTTTAGTTTTTAAACTCCTTTTATCAGAACAATTCTCAAGAAATGAATTCTCATATCTTCTGAAAGCTGTGGGAATGCTCTTTCTGTTTCCTCTTTATTGATTGCTTTGGTGAACATAAGCATCCTGGATACACCTAGAAATCTCTCCTTAGGAGTCTATGGTCCTTTTCCTGAGTTAAATAGATATTTAACCATGAAGTTAAATATCTTGATATAAGAAGGAAAACATTAGGAGAGATTTTATCAGTAATGGCACGTGGTTATTTAGTGAAGTTGTATGCCAAACAAAGAGGAGTGTGTGTAGTGGTGGAAGCTGGCTGCTTTATGAGTAAGAGAGAGTGGCAAAGTTTAGTGCTAGGAACACACTTCCGTTTTCTCTTTTCAATTGCATTTTGCACAGAAAAAATATTGATGTCTTAAATCTGATAGTGTGAAATTTCACTGAAATAAATACCCAAAGAGATGTATTCAGCTTTATCTGCCATGCTGGGATTTTGCTTACAGGGCAGCTCTTCAGGTCTCTGATAGTTCCCATCCTATTCCTCTGTGTTGCCAGTTGTTAACCAGCTCACTGTGTGTGATTGATCTGAGTGACAAGGTAGGATACATTGATTTTACATGCTGGTTTATACAACTTTAGAGGACTTGTAAAGTGCTTGTCCTAATTTCTGGCTTACACCAACACTGACCTGATGTGTTCACATGGTAATTTTGTGTTGGTTTTGTGCAAGCAGCTGTTCTTGAAACTATTTAATTGTTATTTTCCAAAAATAAATACTTGGATATCTTACACTGTGGGGAGAGGACTCCTTTGCAGGGAAGAAAAGGTCACAGTGGTATGTGAATGGGAAAAGTGTGTTACATAAATTGCTGTTTCTATTGCCAACTTAAGCGTATAACCTGCACTGCTGCTTGACTGATGTTTAATGGGTGATCTGTGGATTTACAAGCGTGCAAATGCACTGTTTGGAGAACCTCCCTGTAAAGCAAATTAAATGTGCCTTGCCTATTTTAATGCAGTGAGGAATCATTTTGCTGCCCCTTGTTCTTTCAGACATTCCATATGACCTTAGAGCTGAGCTGGCAGGTAAATGTATGTTGTGCATTCCCTATTCCATGCCTGGAATTGTGGCAGACAACTACAGTGCTGTCATCTGTCAGGATGCTTTCTCAGTCACACGTAAATAAAGGGTTGTGCTTATTATTAATGTTCCTTGATCTTACGTATTTACTCTGTTTGGAGTACTGTTAGGGAGCAGCACTGCTCATGCTGAATGCCCTCTTGCAGTGCTGTGTGCCATGGTCTGCCTTCATATTGCAGTTTCCTTTGTACTGAAGACTGACAGATGGTGGGATGCTAAAAGAAGCTGTACTTTTGGCTCAGGATCAAGATCCATCTAACTCAGTATCCTGTTAGTGGCCAGTAGCAGTTAGGTATGGAAGGATAAGGCACTTGGGAAGCATAGAATACAAAAGGCTGAGAGGTGCGTATGTGAAAAGATCAATCTTTTTAAAGGGCTTCCAGAACCCATGTTTACATCTGGTCCTTTGGTAGGAACTTCCATTCCCATGAGTGCATCTAATCCATTTTGAAACTGTTTACACTGCTGACCTTTGTAGCATCGTGAATTCTATGAATGTTTGTTGCTACAGAGACAGCAGCACGTGCCTGCCTCATCATTTTGTGTCGGGAAACCAGAATTCCCTTTTTATACTTTCTGCAGAATTCTTCTTACAGATTTTGACCATACTTGCATTGTCCTCCCCCACCTCCTCTCCATCACATCTCTTCCAGGTCTGCTGTCTCTCCATCCGTCTTCACATGGAAACCATTTCATAGGTGAAAGTCCTTGAAACTATTTTCAGTACATTATCCTCCTTTTTTTTCCTTCCTCTTTTGTGAATATTTGTTCTACAGAGTATCAGAACTATAAACGTGGAATGGTTTAATCCAGAGTCTCACGTCACCTCTTACGTTTCTATGTTCTTTTTCTTTTGTAATGACTCTAGCACCATTTTTGGCCATAGCAAAGTGCTTTTAGGTTCAGATTCACAGTACGACCCATGATTGTGTAGGTATCCTTGGGACTGACTTCCACCACGTGATTCAGATTTGCATTTCCATGTCATCCCTTAGACATTCCATTTTTTAGAGTGCTGACTTTGAATATCGTGTCACTGTTTTATTGAATGAACTTTTATCTGAATGTAGATCCTGCTGTGAGTTACCCATGGGCTGGCATCTTTCTCACACCTCTTATTTGTCCCCTTTCTTCAACAGCTCAGTGTTGGCCAGCAGAGAATTCTCCTTGACCCAGACCGGTGGTCTCTTCTGTTGTGAAAATCTGCACTTTCTGGCCTTTGTTTTATTTACATGTTTGTTTATTTTTTGTCAAAAAGAACCCAGTTGTGCTGCTTTAGATAATGGTAGGACTGAAGGAAGCAAACTGCCTTTTTAAAATTCAGTTTTGGTAAAAGTTATGATAAATATACTCAAGATGTACCCTTGCATTCAGTGATTGAACCTTGGCCAAAGCATTGTAGTGTGACGATTACTTCAGTTTCAGAACTGCAATCAGCATAAATACAAAAAGCAGTGCATTTCCTAAAAGTACTAATGGTATGCATATGCTAATTTGTGCTGAGAAATAATTTGACCAACATCTGTGGCTTTCTTCAGGTATAGATTTAACCCTGGCTTCTTAATCATCTCCAGCGTACAATCAAAGTAGCTTTATGTGGTTTGTGTATAAAAATCACTTCCCTGGAGAATAAGACTTTTTAAAGAGTAAGCAGAATTGAACACTCAATTAACATCACAAGAGTCTACGTTTTTGGAAACAATTTGTATGAAACTGGAGTGTAATGAAAACAAAGAAATTGAAGTCAGATTCATAGTTGTTTCTGTGCAACGAAGAGGTTGTTAGATGTCTTCTTCTAGGTCATACTGGATCATTATACTGCTTGAAACAATGTTCTAAAAGTACAGTTTCGTGCAGGGCCGTTGGAGTATTTAATGCTTGCACTAAGAGCAAGAGATATGGGATGTCTGTGTGCTGGCAGGGGGGTTGGAACTTGATCCTTGGGGTCCCTTCCAACCCAAGCCATTCTATGATTCTGTGATCCCCCTGGCTCTACAGTTTCAGTAAACATAATATCATATAGGGAAACATTCTTTTATAGTCTGTAGAAGAATTTTAAAAGTTTCTTGACTGAAAGAACTGTTTTTTCTGAAAGCGAGGTGGATCTGTCCCAGTTTGGACTCAATTTGGGATGTGATGGGCATTAAAAAGTTCATTATTAGCAGTCCAGAAGCGTAGTATCGTGTGTTGTATTGCTAATAGTACATCAGACATCTCTTAGTTTATCTAAAAACTAAATAAGAATACTTATTTTGAAGAAGTAAGGGAATGCTCAATCAACTTAGATGTGAGGCAGGTGTGTGAACATATGGGCTGCTGCTGGTGCTCAACTGGGTGAGAGGTGGTGGTCACTGGGTGAGAGGGAAAAGAGAAGAGCTGGCACCACCTGATGATGTTACCCCCACTACACTGATGCATCTCGGAGTAACTTTTAGCCTTGGTGGGCAATGAACTGTGAAGAAACACCTGAACTGAGGGTTTGTTGCAATTATTACTTTATTGGATGTGGTTCACGGTCTCTGAATAATTCTCTATTGCAGTCTGTTGCATTCATGTGTACTGAATTGCGGTTTTAAGCAGGAAGTACACATGAAACAACATCTATTTATTTCTTCAAAAAGGATTTTTACTTCTCTGTATTCTTACTCAGCTGCATCGTGCTTGCCTGACTAGTTTTCAGGAGAGCTTCAGGGTTTTTTAGCTGTAATATTTCTTCCAACTGCTGCCTGTTTTTCTTCCTAAGAAGGACTTGTTGCTGTCAGGAATTAAGCACTTGCTGCACAGATATTTTCCTTAAACTTTGCAGAGAACTGCTGTTTATTTGTACTCTGGCTCCAGTCCAGTCGACTTGCTTGCATGCTGGTAGGGTTGTGAGGAGTTCCTGCAGTGCTCTCTTGTCCTTCTAGGCTTTGGTCTAACAGGACGTGGTGTGATTCTTGAAAGGTCTTCTGTATAGGGTCTCTAGCAGCATTACCATGACTCATCTCTTTTCTTTGAATTTTATTTTCACTCCTACCTTTTACTTACAGATAGCATTTATTTCTGTGTTACAAGTAATGCCACAGGAGTGGGAGAGTAGCATGGAATCATAGAATGGTTTGAGTTGGAAGGGACCCCTGAAGGGCATCTGATCCCACTGCCTGCAGTGCTCAGGGACACCCACAGCTCCAGCAGTGCTCACACCATCCAGTTGCTCAGGGCCATGTGCAGAGCATGCTGTGCTTGTCCCAAATAAAGTTTTTCACTGAGAATGAGCAGGAAGGCATCACAGGTGATGAAAGTATTAGGAAGCACTAAGTGAATGGGACAGGCCTGCTTCAGGGCCCCATGTATTCAAGCATGTATATGTTTTAACTTTAATGTGTTAATTGCATGTCCTTCACCTTAATGACTGCAAGTGAGGTATATGCTGTTGGTCCCTCATCCCTCGAATGCAGCGTAAGAGCATTGGTGGTTAGAAAATTGTTGATATGTTGCAATAGTTTGCTGCCTTTTTTCAGTATCTTCTATTCTGGTGTTTGAGTGGGGTTGTTGATGGACAGTCATAACCAGTATTTTAGAACAGGAAACATGTTTATGTAAAAATATATTGTTGTAAGGACTTAAATGTATTTCTTGATTTACTTGTAAAGAAAATTCCTTTTTTTTCCAACCAGGGGTTGTTAAGAAATATCTATACACACACATAAGATGAAGCCTTCAAAGTGTGCTGTAGACCTGAGGATTGGAGCAGATTGCAGCTGTCTTCACCCACCCAGTGTTTGGAAATCACTAATGGGATGAGAAGTCTGCAGCTGGTGGCAAGCAGTGTGGCTGTGCCCCTCTGCTCACCTCGTTGGCTCCTAAAGGAGCCAGAGTGCTAACGAGGCCAGCAGGCTTGTGCCCTGTGCTGCTGCCTGCTTGCAGCTGTAATTGGGAGTTAGGGCTCTGTTCTGTATGCCATGCATGTTGTATTTGAGGGAATACTGCTCATTTTGATGCTCATAAAAAGGACGTGCCTTATTCCAGTAAAATCAGAAATGAATGGGGCTTTCCTAAATAACAAATGTTGCTCTCATTCTGGGGAGGACCTGCATACAAGTGTTGCTGGGTTTTCAGTGTTAACATGCGGTGCTTGTGCACAGTCCTCAAATTACTCCTGTGTGGTGGATAAAGAATTCTCTTAGTACCTGTGGGAGTGCCCTGCTAAAGCTGCCTGGCTATTATTTGGGCTCTTTGTATAAATGTATTGTTCCAATTGAGAGGGAAAAATAGAAGAAAATGCTGTTTTGTGGTCACAGTGAAAATACATCCACCGGCAATGCGGTTGAAAGTCTTCTGAACCATGCTTCTAGCAAAACCAATCCATTTATATATATTTGAAAGATCTGAACATCTATTAATGCTTTCTAAATCCATTAACTAGTGGCTTGTATGGGGCCTTCAGTGCATCTGACAGCGAAAACACTGAGTTTTATATAATACCATCCTACAAACAAAGTACATAAGTGAGGAGCCAGCTTCTTGTTCCTTGGATTGCTAGATCTGCCCATCTGTGTGCATCCTTCCATGCAGCATCTGTTACTGGCCATTGAGACAGGATATTAGATTAGATGGACTCCTGTGTGACCCAGCCTGGTAAGCCCTGCTCCATGGTGTGCCAGTGCTGGGGTTATCTCGTGTGTGTGCAACTGCTCTCAGTGGAAAGCAGTTCTCCAAGGTGCTGTGTTTGGATGCTGTGCCTCATAAGGAGCACTGCCACTGCAGTTCTAGTGCTCAGACAGCCTTTCTTAGAATTATTCCTTTCTCGAGGTGGATAGGATTGAATTTTCCATGTCCAGGGACGCAGTAGGAAGATGAAGCTTTAGTTTTAATTCATCTTTAAAGCAATTTGTGGATGGGATTCTTTGTGACAGCTCTGTCACGCAGGATTGGGGAAGCAGCCACTTTCCTGGCAGTGTTTCTTTCATTCTGCGCTCTGCAAATTTTGTCCTCATCAAAATTTGTTTTTTAAAACTGCACATTAATTTTGCTAAGTATTCCTGGGCTTTTCTGTAGCACCCACTGAGTTCTCGTCCTGCTTAGAAGTCATTTAAACTTTTACAGTTCTCTTTGGTTACCTGGGTGTAGTGGTTTTTTTTAGGCATGTGTTTTCCATACATGTTTGTTTTTATGTTATATAGGACGTCATGTAAACCTTTATATACATCATGTAAACCTTTCTTGTCCTGGATACCAAGGTCAGGGGTTTAACCTGTCCTAATTCCCAAATAAATGTCTCTCTGAAATTACCATTTCCATACACCTCATCAGTAAAAGTGAGCTATTCCATGCACTAGGAGCATTTCTCATCTCTCAGCTCTTTTGCTAATGGCTTTGTTCCCACTGTGTGTGACTGACTTGGTAAGAAGTGGTGCCTGTTCTGTAATGCAGTGCCAGAGGAGCTGCTGCTTTGTGCTCACTCTGTGCCTTGGCCAGCAGTGTGCCTTGCAGGCTGGGCTCAGCCAGGTCCTGATTTCTCAAGTTAGCTCACTCATGGCTTCTTCCCTTTCTGCTCTGATTGATGGCTCAGAAGTGGACGTGTGTTACAGTTTGGAAAACATCAGCATTCTGATTTTGGTGTTGTTATTCCTTTCCCCACCAAAAATAGTTTACAAACCTGAAAGGATAGGGCACACAGTGCCCAGCACAAGGAAATTGGGGCTGAGGAGGAGGCCCAGGGTGCTGTTCTGCTGTAAATGCATCAGGAGCACTACTGGTGATGGGCAGCAAGCGAGCTGGTGTGATGGAGTTTTCCACTCCAATTTAAACCAGCCTCAAAACCTGCTCCACTCACTGCTCCCAGCTGTTGGGTGGATCACTTTGGTTGCCATGAGCAGGAGCTTTGTTGTAGCTGTTTTTTTCCTGATACTCAGGGTTGTTTGCTTTTATATTATAGGACTACAAAGTTGATGAAGACCCTGCGTTATTCCAGTCAGTTAAGACCAAGAGGGGACCTTTGGGACCAAACTGGAAGGTAATAAGAACTGACTTTACAGCCTTATGAAGTGTCATCAGCAAAGAAAAAAACTGTGTGCCTGTCCCCTGAAGACCAGCACTAGTGGTGTTAGTGCTAGGACAGAGGGCAGGCATTTGATTTTTTTGTTCTTGTGCATTCATTTGAAGTTCCAGATGTGTTAATAAGCAGAGTTACTGCTTGTTCAATATCACTGCTAAATCAAAGCAGTGCAAATTAAATTGGGTGAATGTTATCTGTACTTGAGACTGACTTCTGAATATGCACTATTATGAATTTCATGCTGGTTCCAGGCATTGAGTTTTCCTCCTTTTACAGCTGTTTGTAAAAAAAAAAACAAAAAACAAAAACCAAGTAATTCCCCTCTGTCTGTGGGTCACACAGCCCTCAGAGGGGCCTTTTCCATACCAGCCTTGTGCTCCTTCCTTCAGGAGGAAGGAACCAACATCTCAGGCAGAATACAGATCTGTGGTCTTTCCATTGTACTGCTTATTATTCACGTGCAGAGGTTTGGGTTAAGTTGCTTCCCCATTTCTCCCTTAAGTTTCCTCTTTTACAAGGCTTGGAGTAACCTAACATGCTGTTAAGCAAAAATAGGACGTGATTACTTCTGATATGTAAACTTGGCTGCATGAATTGTAGGAAAAACAGCATCTGTGATGTTACGGGTGCTTCAAACCTGTTTGGAAGTAGAAACCATGATAAAAAAAGTAGGAATTGGAGGCAGTGCTGGTAGATGTCCCCTGCATTTCCCTGCAGTTAGTTCTGCTGGGGATCCTTCTCACCACAGTCCTGCAGCCCGAGCTGTGTGCTCACCATCTCTGAAGAGGAGCTTTCATTGCCTTATGGCCACCTGTAGCCCACTGCTGGGAGGTGCTTCCCTATCTGTAGTAACAGCCAGGAAGTCTGTAATTCATTCAAAAATGTAAATTATGCCACACAGCCAGAAATCATGTCTTTGTATGGGTAAGAGCAAACCCTTCTGCCATCATCTCCAGGGAGGGAAAGTGAGGGAGAGAGGAACAGGGGAGAGCATGCCAGGGTTTGATTCCTTTTTGTAGTATATGGACACAGCAGAACCAAATTAAATTTGTTTTGTGTTTTTGTGAGATGTAAACTTTAGGGGTGATGATGTGATTTTTATGATCTGTGTCTTTTCTGGAGTGAGTGTTTTCCACCATTATGCTGAGAAAATTGATACAGCTCAGATTGTAATTGCCTTTGGGTAATAGCTCCAGAAGTATAAAATAATTTGGCATTAGCTGTTGTAATTAAGTTTTGTTGTCCCCTCAAAACCTCAGGAAGTATATTGTAGTGGAAGTGATGAAAATGGAATCAATGCTAAACCAGATTTAAAATATATATTTGCAGCATTAATTGAGTTGTCTTACAGATATATAAGATAAGTATGGATGTAATTTAGTTATTTGTTAATCCCTGTTACTCTGTGTTGAGATTAGTGCAGTCATTTACTAAGATGTAGAGTAATATTAAATGCATTTCACTGAAATCAATTTAAAAAAAAACAAAAACCTTTTCCAATTATCCATAAACAGAAAGAGCTAGCAACTGATGAAGAGTGCCCTAAAATGTGTGCTTACAAGTTGGTGACGATTAAATTTAAATGGTGGGGACTGCAGAACAAAGTGGAAAACCTTATACAGAAGGTAAGTGCTTCATGTTGAGAGTAAATAACTGCAATTGCTGTGCTAGCGTGTGGCAGGATGCAGGCCTGTTATGTAATGTTCTCTTATCTTCTTAAAGCAAGAAAAAAGGATATTTACCAACTTCCACCGCCAGCTGTTCTGTTGGATTGACAAGTGGATCGATCTGACCATGGAAGACATCAGGAGAATGGAGGATGAGACTCAAAAGGAGCTGGAAGCGGTGAGAGCACCTTCAGGCTGATGTTTGTGTGCTGTCTGTAGTGATGCCTTTTAGTGTTTGGGAACTGAAGCATATGAAGCTTTATCCATTCCCTTGTGTGCGTTTGGGCAGCTGCTGATGAGCATTATGGCCCCTCTAGTGGTTCTCCCGTGCAGACCCATGCACTTCAGGCTTCTGCATGCTGCATTGTGGCAGGCTGGAAGTGGCTGTAAGGTCAGTGTTTCTGATGTCACTAAATCTGGGGTGCCTGCATTGCCCATCTCTTTCTCTCTGCTCTCACGCTCATCGCACAAAATCACCTTCAGCACTTTTTTTTTTTTTTTTACCACTTCTCAGAGCCATCATCGATTTTTGTATTGTTTGCTTTGGTTCATTTCTAATCATTAGACCTGGTTACTTTTCCTCTTCAAGCACGTTGTGCAATGTTCTTGTGCAGATCACGTGACAACAGCAGTGCTCCTCCTCGTTAGCTCAGCAAAACTGAGAATTTTACTTGCAAAAAGGAAGCCAGTAAAATTAATGGGCTTATCAATTTACGTGCTTTAGTGGCTGTGAGAATCAAGTGTATATAGTTTAATCCATCTTTGGACTGATGTCTGGAAGGAAATCCATCTGTTGGATACATTCAGTATGCTTTCTTTTAAGAGATAGAGAAGCATCATAGGCTGAGCAAGAAGCCTTCTCCAGTCTGTTTCCAGAGCTTGGCCTTTGACATGAATGAGCCTTTCTCACTTTTTAGTCCTGCAGTTTGTGGAGTTCATTCTATTTCCTTCCCATTTTGCCCATTACTTTATGTCTGAAACCTGTTCACCTTATTGTTTTCCTCCCATTGTCTTGGTACTGTCAGGACACGATGTTCCTTCAGCTATCACTTGCTTTTTCACATGGTTTTACTCATTTCATCTGCCAGCCATATTTAAAGAGAATGTCTCGTGATTTTGACTCTCTGTTGACAGTGGTTTTGGAAGTGCTTTTTTTTGTGGTCTGAGCCTAGCGCATCTTCTAGAATCAAAACTAGCTGTAATTCTTCTGTCCCCACTTGATGTTTGGTTTTTATCAACAGTGTGGAAATGTTGAGATTTGGAAGAGGTGTTTTTTTGCTGTTGGTGCTAATAGGTAGGTGGTGTGAGGTGGTAAAACCACCTTTTCTCTTCAGGTAGCTGGAGGGATAGTCTGCCCTGGAGGCTCCTGTTACAGATTCTGGGAAGAATGAGTTCACTCACTGTTGCAAACATTGCAGTCTCTCATTGGCAGTGGGGTATTTCTGATTATGGAAAGGTGGTGTTTTCACAGATCAAACAGATTTCTTATCCTTGTTTTTGAATGCCAAACCTCCTCACTTACTGGTTTCTTGTTTTGCAAAGCAGTGCAGCTAGTATGTTTCAGGCAGTTTGCCATGTGTGACCTCATCTTCAAGAACTGAAGTGCATTGCTTTTTACAAAAGTCACATTTTCACACTGCTAACACAGCTTTTCTGTGTGTATTGTGAAAGGTGAGAAGAGTGGGCACCTACTGCTGAAATATTGTTTTTTTTTCTCCAACTCTTTAAGTAGGTGTTTGTTTAAATAGATGGCCTGGACCACTGGGAAGTGCCTAAAATATTGACTAGAGTGTCTTTGTGCTTCCATCCCTGCAGAGAAGTAGCTTTGACACTGCTGTGTTATGCAGTGTGACAAGCACAGGAAGCAAGTGTGGTGACGTTGGCAGCATTGCATTTCCTCAGGATGCATTGCTTTCTTTTGCTGCTCCCCTTCTCTCCAACACCCTTTCTTTGTTCTAGTTTAAGTTACTCTTTCCCTTTAGATTCTGTGGACGTTCAGTTCTTTTGTTGGTCCCCTTCTTCATCTTAAGTCACTATTTATTGTCAGGGTTTCTGGTTTTGTTACTTTTTTGTTGCTCTGTGACTCCTCACCTGTGTTCTTCCAGAGTTTCTCAGTGCCAGCCCATCTTTCTCATTATTTTTTTTTTTCTATCACATAGTGGTTTATACATCTGACTCCTGGAGGTGAGGAGCACCTGTAGCTCACTACATACACATCAGCTAATCACTGCATAGTAGGAGAGCATCTGACCCTGCCAAAGCACTGTGGTACACCTTGTGTCCTTGAGCATTTCAAGCAGGGTGGTTCTGAGGCATCACAGGCTGATAAAAATCTAAGGAGCATCATTTACAGCTGCTGTGTGGTTCCCAGGCATCCCTCACCCCAACAACCCTGCTCTGTGTACCCAGCCTCCCAAAGCCTTCAGCTGAAGCTGGTTTTGGTCGTGGCCAGGGCAAGTAGCCTTGGCCGTGTCGATTGTGACTTCTCTCTTACTAACCAACAGCATGATAGGTTCTTTACGTGGTAGCTCACAGTTTTATTTTACGTTTAGATGCGTAAGAAGGGTTCCGTTCGAGGCACATTGGCTGCTGACGTCTAGAGGAGTTCTCTGTAGGTTCTGAGGCAAATCAAGCTGTGTAAGTCAACTGCTGGATGGAAAAGGAGACTGATATATATGATATGGGAATTGCTGGCAGAACGATACCAGCTAATGCTTCTGGGCTTTGAGCTCCTTCCCGTTTGAGAACCTTGATGTGATCAACAGCTGGAGGAGACATTTTGTGTCCAGAGGACATGAGAGACCTCTGCACACAGCCACTGTAAAAACCACCACAGGTGCTTGGTCTGTTGGCAGAATGCCTTACACCCCGGCCATAGAACCTGCTTCCTTCTGCATTGCTAGTGCAGAAACCCAAAGTGCATGACCCTTGTCAGCACTGTGCTGGCTCTGAGCTCTGAAGCCTGCAAATAATTTCCTGGGCACAACCTGCAGGAGTCACTATCCTGTGATACGTGGACTTAATCCACATTATTGAGGGAAGCTGTGGACTGTCACCTTTAAAGCACGTTAACCTCTTACAATCCAGTTCCACGCAGCCATTTTTAAATATTAAACTGCATAAAAATAGTGCAGAAAGCAGCATTTCCCGAGATTGGCAAAGCTCTGAGTATTTGTGTCTGTTAAAGCTGGTATTTCCCACACTGACTGCTGAAGTGCCACAGGTGGGATCCCAGCAGCAGCAGCTGTGAAGTCTGCAGTGCTGTGTGAGGGCCCTGGGCCACCTTGCATTGCTTTGCTCTGAATTGCTCGGTCTCGGTGATGCTGTGACTGCCCTGCCCTGTTGTAATTGGAGGTTAATTAAGCCACCTATTTGGCACTTGACGTTTCAGGGAGCTTTTAATGCTTACCTGTGTGTTTTCTTTCTCCACAGTTACGTAATCAAGGCCAAGTCAGAGGAACAAGTGCTGCCAATGATGAATGATGATGGATTTGACCGTCACATGCAGTGTCGCATTACAAACGTGTGTGTGGATGCATGATTATTTGTATATAATTATATATACGCACATGCATACTGAAGGGGGTTGTTACAGTGTCTCCAGGGTACTACTATACCTGTCCTCAGCAAAGATGCAAAGGAAACTGCTTTCATTATGTATACCTGAAGCAAATAAAAATCAACTGAGTAGAGTCATTTAAAGGTCGAATTAACGGCAGAATTCTATTAACTGATATGTTTCATGAATGTCAATACTGGACCAATTTATGCCCTATTTTTTTTTTTTTTCCCCCCCCTGTTCTGAGTCACTCTGCTACACCTCGGCCCCGTCCCATTGTAAAGAAACGGATTCAAATAAGTTAACTTCAATTTTGTGTCTTCCCTATGTGGATAATTTTTGAAATAGGAACAATGAATGTATTTATAGCTATTTATTTCTGGGTGGTCGTTATCCTCTAGTCAAATCAGAACGAAGTTGCTCACAGTGGAAATTGGAAGACTTTTACTGTTAAATAAGTTTGACCCAACCCTTACCCACCAGTCACAAAGCAAAAAAAAAAAAAGTGTTTTATTGGACTTTTGTACATTGAAATGCAAATGTTTTTTCTTCATTAAAATTGGCAAGATTAAGGAAAAATGGCTTGTGATTTATAAACTGCTTGCAATTTGAAATTTTCCAGAAGCAGCTTTCTAGAGCAAGAAGATGCATCGAGTACCTCTACGCCACGCTGTGCCAGCAAAGGCAGGGACCTTCTCTAACGTAATGCTGATAATGAAAGTGCTGTTTTCCAGAGGTTCACTTTGGAAGTTATGCAAATTGTCTTGATTTCACACACATCACACAATGGAATATAACGGTGATTTTTTTAGCTCTTTTCATGTTGAAAATACACTTTAAAAAGAAATGTATACTTTCAGGTATGATGAAAGTTTAAATTGTAGCATCTAACATGTTTCTCTGATGTTTGTCAGTAGATACTTGAAAAGCAGTGTAATAAAGACATCTGTAGATAACTCTCAAATAGGAAAACATCTTCAGCTTTTTTTAAGATATGGAGGTAGAGCATCTCATAGGCATGTATTATCAAAATGCTCGCTAGATCAGAAACCAACTATTTTAGAAACACTAGTTAGGTAAAGTCCTATTGCTGCCTGATTTCCTCCCAGTACCCCCAGTAACCTCGGTAGGACAAGCCTTGCTTAAGCTTCCATCTTTATAATGTCACTTCCATTCTATTTGGAACCAATTTTTTACTTACTCTGCTTACTGAAGGAGCAATCTGATTTCTCCTCTGTGTCAATGACAAAATCTGCCTGAACTTGAAGCCAGGTGAGCACAGCCACTGCTGCCAGGGTTGGGCAGCTCTCCTGCGTGCTTTCATCCTCCGTGCTGCAGTGCAGGGGGTTCTCTGTTTTCCCTGTCTGGATGAACAGTTCAGTGGATATTTGTGACAGCAGGAGGTTGGTTTTGTAAATAGACATGTGGACATACGTGCACACACTTCCATTTAACAGCTCTGCTGAAGGAGGGCTGTTGCAAGCCTGGAAACTGAAGGGCTCCGTTCTCTTTTCAGTGGTAGAATACAAGTCTCACTGTCATCTGTGGGACTCAAAACACAAACAGAGGGAAAGGGGCCCTACGAGTTCAGAAATACGGAACTAGTTGTGAAAATCTGAGAGAATCTTGTAGCGATTGTAAAACATTTAGTTGACTTTGGCAGACTTTGGTGTGACCTACAGCGAAACTCAATGACGTTTCAATAAATTTGATGATAAAATGCTCTGTCTCTTGTCTCAGGTATTAGCAGTTGTGGTTTGCTCGTGAACTGCTGCTTAGCTGTATTGGGCTGTGCAGGAAGGTGGGAGTCCTCTATGGATGCACTACGGTGTTGTGAGCTCAAATGTGTGCTTGAATGTTAGCAGCAGTGGGGGAGGGGTTGGGTCAGATGTTTGGTTTGGGATTCTGAGCAAATAACTCCTGGCTGGAACCTTGTGGCCATTTGGAACACGGAGATGGTGGTTTTCTTCCTTTGTACGTTACGAGTGTCTGTTTCAATGTGCCAGGCTATGAATTTTGCAGACACTTCCATGTGATGTGCTTGGAACCGAGCAGTGCTGTGGTTGTGGCTGTCTTCTTATGTTACAGGTGCTGCTAACCCTGTATCCTATCCCAGCAAGGAAAGGATGGTCCCACTATGCAGACAGAATGGCCTTCAGCGTAAAAACTTCTTATATCCAATCTCACTCTCCCTTCTTTGGGTTCGAAGCCGTTTCCCCTTGTCCTATCACAGCAGACACACGCAGTGTGGCCGAGCCCTGCACACCAGGCAGGCTGTGTGCCATCGGGGAAGCAGCTCTGACTGCGTGTGGATGGGTTTGTGCTGCTGTAAATTGAAACTTGTACAGCTCCTTTTTGTAAATGCAAAATTGAATTCTCTCTCTTTTCTTTTTTCTCAGCTTGTTGAAGTTCCAGATGGCAAACCAACGTGAAGCAGTGGAAGTGCAACATGGTTTCGTTATAATGGGTATGTAAACATGATATTTATTCACTGCAGTAGACTGCTGTGAACCATATTCTGCAGTAACCTTTCAAACCCAGCGCTTGGCTGCACGTAGGAGCGCGGTCTGAATGGACTCGCAAGGTCTGCCTGTGTTTCATTGAGAAGAACAGGGAAGCACAGAAGCTTTTTGCTGATACAACCTTATGAAAGTGAGATGTACAAAGATAACGTGCTGCTCGGTGAAGGTACTGCCATTTTTCTTGTGATTTACCCCCATGTTTTTAACTGATTTACATTTATGAAGGCTGTGAGTTCGTGCTGACTTTCCCTCTTTGCATGTATTTGTGCTGGGAGGTGGAGCAGGTGGCGCTCGGACTGCTCTGATTTTAAGACATAAACTTTTAGCACAATAGAAATATAAATAGCATTCAGTCAATTAAAGTGTCTTCCTATCTCTCGAGCATTTAAATTGCAGCCAGGAAATGCCAGCTCGCAGAAGTTTCTAATTGCTAGAAAACACAGTCAAACCCTTTCAGCCATGGGTTTTAAAAACAAATATCTCCTGGGGGCTTCAGCAGTTCCAAATGGTCAGAGCTGACACAGTGGCCCTTATCATAGAATGGCCTGGGTTGAAAAGGACCACAATGCTCATCCAGTTCCAACCCCCTGCTATGTGCAGGTTGCCAACCAGCAGCCCAGGCTGCCCAGAGCCACATCCAGCCTGGCCTTGAATGCCTGCAGGGATGGGGCATCCACAGCCTGTTTTGGCAACCTGTTCCTGTGCATCATCACCCCCTGTGTGAAAAACTTCCTCCTAATATCTAACCTAAACCTCCCATCTCCGTTTAAAACCATTCCCCCTTGTCCTATCGTTATCCATCCTCATAAACAGCCATTCCCCCTCCTGTTCCTACGCTCCCTTCAAGTACTGGAAGGCTGCAATGAGTTCCTGGGAATTCTGCTGGGTGAGGAAAAGCAGCAGTGCCTTTACACAGTCCTTAAATTCAAACCAAGCCTTATCTGTAATGACTTTAATACAAAGTGTTTGTGTTGGGCAATTAGCTACAGCACGCATTCACTCTCGCTTTCCATTAATTGGTAGATAATGGCATCTCCCAAAGTTAATATTAGCTCGAGCAAATGATGATCGATTGCGAAAGTTCAAGTCATCCTGTTGATTATTCAAGTATTCCTATGCTGGCACCGGCGATGTCCCGGGCTGATCTTTGCCCTGGGATTGTCCCCTGACCTTCGGTGTCCCCAGGGATGGGGCACCACCGCCCATGGGAGGCAGTGCCACGACTGGGAGGTGCAGCCCTCACTGTCTGCAGCGCAGCAAGGAGAACCAAACTCTGCCAATAAGTGAAGTCCCTGAAAAAGCCCGGAAGCAAAATGGCTATAATTAAAACCTGACAGCAACGAGTTCATAAAGAAGTAAACGAAGAGGCGGGCTCTCTGTAAATGATGATCTAAAAAGCGTTCTGGGTTCTGAGACCTCATTTCGAATGTATTCATTAAATAATATTTGAATCATTTAACAGTTTGAACTCTGCTGCGCTGTTAATATCTGCGGGGGGATTTTTTTTTTTTTTTTTCCCGGTAACAAAGAGGTCTTTGTTCCCGTCTGTGCTCGGGCTGCGCCTTGGATATGAGTGGGAAACCCGATAGCCTGACATTGCTCGAAGTCTGGGAGCACAATGTGAGTCGTCTGCAGCCGGGATTAAATCGGCCCTTTTGTCCATGTGATCCCGGAGCAGCGCTGCTGTGGGATGGCAGGAGATGTTTAACCCCTTGTGCTGGTGCTGGGCAGCCCGCTGTGTGCCACCCCTACCCAGAGGGGCTGTGGGACAGAAGGGACAAATGCCGTAACAGGGTTTGTAGTGGTAGGATAATATGGGAAATGGTTTCTCAAAGGGGGAGATTTGGGTTGGATGTAAGGATGAAGTTCTGACACCGAGGGCAGTGAGGCACTGCACGGGGTGCCCAGAGGTGGTGCTGCCCCATCCCTGCACACAGCCACGCTCAGGGGACGGGGCTGTGAGCACTGCTGGAGCTGTGGGTGTCCCTGTGCACTGCAGGCAGTGGGAACAGATGGCTTTTGGGGGTCCTTTCCAACTCCAACCATTCTATGAAGTGGGAGAGGAGAAGAACTTGCAGACACGGCGTAAAGCAGCACCTGATGTCTGTATGTAAAAGGAAAGCACCAAGGTGAGCCCTCTGTGAACCAAACGCTCAGGGAAAATTAAGTCATCAAGACTTTACGAAATTACCTCTGGTTTTCTCCTTTCACAATAGTTCGGTTTATAAGATGATGAAAAATGAATTAACTGCAGTGGTTTTCTGGCATCGCCCACAGTGAGCCCGACTTTCCAGATGCTCAGAGCTCATTCCTGCTCCACCACGCTGCCATAAATCCCACCTGCTTCGGGTTTAAGAAAACAGCAGAACAAAGTCAATCATACAAACTCCACCGTAAAATACCGAGGAGAGTTAAATACTGATTATCCGTATAGAGAGGTGCTATTTTTTATTTATGTCTCACCGACTTACTTTAGGAAATATAAAACCCTTACAGTTCCTGCAGCCTAACTAATCCTTTGGGGTGTTTATGTCAGCTAATTTGTTGGGTTTTGGTGTTGTTCTTTTTTTCAACACAATCAGATGTGTGCAATCACAGACCCATAGAATGGTTGGAGTTGGAAGGGACCCCCGAAGGCTGTTCTGGTCCCACTGCCTGCAGTGCACAGGGACACCCACAGCTCCAGCAGTGCTCACAGCCCCGTCCTGCTGAAAACGTGTCATCCATTTAACTTTTATCCCTCATTTGTGCCTTTCAGTAGTTACACTGATACACCCGAAGGCTGATCTTAACCAAACGGTGCCTTATAGAGCTGAGGTGTGAGCGGCACAGGAAAGCAAGCCGTGCCTCTGCTTGATGGAACAGCTTAAAAGACCTCTTGCTAACGGCGAGCTGAAGTTTTCCAGCATATGGGCTTGTTTTGTACAGTTATGTGTGGTTTTTCCTTAGATTCTCAGTGGTAATGAGCCCACACAGTTGATTGCTGCAGGGAGAAAAAAAAAAAAAAAAAAAGAAAAAAAAAAAATCGTCCTGAATAGGTTTGCTGAATAATTATGAACTGAGCTGAACTCTTACATTTGCTTACTAATTGTACGCTCCGTGATGTTTTATGTATGATGCATTCATTTTGTTAAAAAGGGATTTTTTTTTCTTTTTTTTTTTTTTCTGAGCAGCGACTTTTCTCAGTGCAAGTCGGACTGGCACCGTGGAAAGAGCTGAATTCAGGGCTGATGAATTGATGGCGTTTGAATTGTTCTTTTTTTTTTTTTTTTCCTAAATCAACCCCGCTATTTGGTTTGCAGAGCTTGCAATATGAAACCCCAAATCACGCCATTGTCTTGAAAGTCGAAATCAATGAATCCTCTCCACTTTGGATTTGGCAGCAGCGACGGCTATTGTTAATTTAGAAAATAATCCCCTGCAGCTACCGCTATTTAAATAACGCCTTCCACTCCTTCCCCCCAAGATGGCCAAAACCCAAAGACCGAAAGTAAAAATATTGTTTGTAGGATAGACTTCTCCCTGTTTGCTGCGGTGTAGAGGAGGTTTCCCCATTCGGGTGCTCCATACCTGAGCTCTGGTGGCAGTGACAGCCCCAGGCTCTGTTGGTGTGCACAGTGCAGGGCTCTGCTGCTGGGCACAGCTGGGAACTCGGGGTCCTGGAACACTTGGGGTGTTCAGCCCATGGACCGAGGGAGTCTCCATCCCACACACGTGTTCTCCTTTGCCGTTCTTCCAACAAACAGCGCTTCTTCCACCTGAAGAACAAATGGATCTACCTGCACAGTAACAGGGTGAGCTGCCTTCATAGCTGAAAATCTCTTTGCCAAAGGATTTGGACTCTTACAGGGAAGCTGATGTGTGTGAATTGTTGCAGGACGCGTCCTTGAGACAACAGCCCTGGAGTTGGAGCAGAGCTGTGATGGCCTGAGGTCGCACGGCAGTGGTGGGAGCTGCGGGCAGTGGGAACACAGTGCAGGCAGCAGTGAGTTTGCTCCTTCCACAGCCACACTGTGCAGCTCTCATCACAGCCGTGGTGCAGAGCCCAGGCTGTCTCTCCAGAAAAGGGGCTGTGTATAAATGTGATGACAAAGCTGTGATAAAAAGGGTCGGCCGCAAATGGAATCCGACGTGATTACAGCAGTAATTAGTGTCCAGTGCGACTCCTGACAGGTACATCATCCAGCAGGCACGTGGCAACCTCAGTGGGAAATACCTTTCTGCCACCCTGGCACGAACACACTGACAGTGCTCTGTGCACTGGTGTTGCTGTCATTTACAGTTCTCTCTGTGCTCTGCTGCATTTCAGGTTTTTGTAGACCCACAGAATGGTTTAAGTTGGAAGGACACCTGAAAGCCAGCCACCTGGTCCCATTCCTCGCAGTGCACAGAGACACCCACAGCTCTATCGGTGCTCGGAACCCCCTCCACCTCAATCCAGACTTTTCTTCACTTAAAAAGAAAACAAAAGCAAATCCCCATTTAAATAGAACGTTTCTATGGCCAAAGATTGGATCAAGACGACATCAGCGACCATTTACACAACACGCGTTAACATTACGAATTAGAACAGTGCGTCCCGTCTGCCCTAAAGCCAGAGCCGGAACTGCTCTCCCCCTCCCCGGGACCCCGCACCGCGTCCCAGCCGCCCGCAGCGCCCCGCGCCGCGCCCCGACGGCTCCGCTCGGCTCTCCCGGAGTGCTGCGATGTGCGGCCGCCAGGGGGCGCTGCGCCCGTTCGCAAGACGCGCTCCGACGGCGCGCACGCAGGCGCAGAGGGACACGGAGGGGCGCGCGGTGGCCGCGGGAGGAGCGCACGCGGAGCCCCGGGACTGGGGGGAGTGATGGTGGTGGTGGTGGTGGGAAGGGGGGTCGGGCCCTGCGGGAGCAGCAGAACTGCAGGATCCGAACCGCTCCGCCTGCGGGCTCCGCTGCTCCGCTTTCTCAGCGCCCTCCACGCTGAGGACGGAACTTCGCTTCTCCCCTTTGTGCCGCTGCCGGCCCCGAGCACCCCCGTCCCTCCGCTAAGTAATAATTTCCACGTCCGATTCCATTTCTTCTCCCGTTCTGAAATCTCCAAGCCATCAGCGAGGAGGATAGTTCACATGAAAACTAATTACACAAAATCAATATTTAATCACAGCGCGGCATCCTGATCCTGCAGAAAAAATCCCTTTAAAACTCTGCTGCCATACACAAATACTTCTCGGCCGCTTATTTATAGATCTCTCCCTCTCTTCTTCTTCTTTTTTTTTTTTTTCCTTTTGGTGCGAGCAATTTCATTTTCTTCTTATTTTTTTCTTCACTACGAAACGTGCGATCTGCGAGTCCCGCAGGTGCCGCTTCCCTCCCCATCCTCCCCGGGTCCAAGCTGTGTTCTCACCCCGGGGGCGCCGCGCACGGACCGCTCCGCTCCCGCTGCCCGGACACGGGGCGGGCCGCCTCCCCCTATCTCAGCCCTTACCGGGAGGGCTCCGACCGCGCACCGCCGGGCAGCGGCACCTCCCGGGCTCGGAGCGCCCGAATCCCGCCGCTCCGCTCCGCGCCCCGACGGCCGGGCCGGGCGGGCGGGCGGACATCACCCCGCGCGGCTCCCCCCGCAACACCGCGGGGCAGCGGCCGGAGGGAGCGGAGCGGAGCAGAGCGAAGCGGGAGGGGCGCGGAGCCGGCGCGGCGGAGCCACCTTAACGGCGAGCCCCGCCCCGGGCCGCGCGGCGCTCATTGGCGCAGCCCCGATGGCTGAAATTCATCGCTGAAATGCAAAACTTGTTGCTGCTCCGCCAGCGCCGGCTGAGAGCGGGGGAGCGCGCGCGAGGGGAGCGCCGCGGAGCCCTCCGAGCGCCCGCACGCAGCGCCCGCCCCGGCCCCGCCGCCGCCCCCGGAGCCCCGCGCGTCCGGCGGACGGCGATGCGGCGCGCGGCTCCCGGGCGCCGGAGGAGCCTATGAGCGGCGGCGCGGCGCCCCGTCGGCTCCCGGGCAGCGCAGCGCCGGGCGGCAGCGAGCGGAGAGGCGCGGGGTGAGCGCGGGCGGGCGCGGCGCGATGTGAGCGGGGCGGCGGGGCAGCGGGCGGCCATGCGCTTCTGAGCCGCGCAGGATGTTCGGGCTGGAGCAGTTCGAGCCGCAGATGAGCAGCCGGAGCGGCGGGCAGGGGGAGCGCGGCTTCGGGCAGCCCGGACTGAGCATGAGCGCGCACTTCAAGGCGCCGGCCTTCCCCGGCGGCGGCCCGGCGGCCGCGGTGGACCCGGCCCTGGGCGCGCTGGGCGAGCCGCCCCTCCTCGGCATGAACATGAGCCTGCCCGGCGACGGCTACGGCTTCCCGGGCCGCGGCCCCGCCGAGCTGCACGGCGCCGGCATGCAGCCGCCCGTGCACGGCTTCTTCGGCGGGCAGCAGCCGCACGGCGGCCACGGCGGCGCGCACCACCCGCACCAGCACCAGCACCAACACCAGCACCAGCCGCACTTCGGCGGCAACTTCGGGCCCGACCCCGGCGCCTCCTGCGTGCACGGCGGCCGCCTCCTGGGCTACAACGGCGCGCTGGGCGGGCAGACGGCGTTCGCCGACGGCTACGAGCACATGGCCGAGAGCCAGGGCGCCGAGGGCTTCGGACAGCAGCGCGCCGGGAACCTGCCCGACTTCCAGCAGCACAGCGCCGGCGCCTCCGGACACGCCGTGCCGGCGCCCTGCCTGCCCCTCGACCAGTCCCCCAACCGCGCCGCCTCCTTCCACGGGCTGCCGGCGGCCGGCTCGTCCGAGCCCCACGGCCTGGAGCAGCGGCGGCTCCCCGCGCAGGACTCTCTGGAATACAATTACCCCGGCGACGGCCCCGCCGCGCACTTCGAGCTGCCCGTCTTCTCGCCGTCGGAGCCCGAGGGGCAGCTGCCGCACTACGGCGGCGGGCGGCAGGTGCCGGCGGGCGGCGGCTTCGCGGGGACAGCGCTGCCCCGGGCGCCGGGCATGGCCGTGGCCAAGGCGCAGCCCCCGCCGCCGCCGCCGCAGCAGCAGCAGCAGCACGGCGTTTTCTTCGAGCGCTTCGGGGGAGCGCGGAAGATGCCCGCCAGCCTGGAGCCGGGGGCCAGCGCCAGGCACCCGCTGATGCAGCAGCAGCAGCCGCAGCAGCCGCCGGGCTTGCTGGCCAGACAGAACTCCTGCCCGCCGGCCATCCCTAGGCAACAGCAAACAGAAGCCAACGCTCCCAACCCCAACTTGCAGGACAATGGGCCGATAATGCAGAACCAGCACGCACAGTTTGAATACCCTATTCACAGACTGGAGAACAGGAATATGCATCCCTACGCCGACCCCGTGTTTAATATGCAGCACCCTCCTCCGCAACAGCCACCAAATCAAAGACTGCAGCACTTCGATGCCCCCTACGTGAGCGTCGCCAAGCGGCCGCGCTTCGACTTCCCCGGCAACCCCGGCGTCGAGCGCTGCGCCTCCTGGGCCGGCGGCATGCACGGCCCGGCCATGGAGAGCCACCTCTCCCCGACGTCCTACCCGGGGCTGCCGGGCGATTTCACCCCGCCGGCTCCCGACGCCTTCGTAGGGCCGCTGCCGCACGGCGGCCCCGAGCACCCGGCGCTGGCGCAGCGCCAGAACGCGGCCCTGGTGATGAAGCAGATGGCCTCGCGCAGCCAGCAGCGCCTGCGGCCGCCCAGCCTGCAGCAGCTGGGGCACCACGGCGAGGTGGGTCCCGCCGGCTCCCTGCCGCCGCCCGGCTTCGAGCGCGAGGCCGCCGCCGCCGCCGCCCGCG